GAAAATTTTGCAATGCACGCCTTTCGTAAACTTTTTGCGTACAAAATGCTGTGATTTCTACGATTATAACAAACACTACGCTTAGGGGTTTTTTTTTATTATTCGAAGTGTGGATGTGTTATATCAATTCTCTAACGGGTTATATCGAATTTATGGTAATATTTGTGCTATCTACTTAAACTGTGGTTAGATGGCCGATTCGAGCCGAGTTTTAGCATTTGGGGCCGCAACATGGACTGCAACATGGACTGCAGCAAGGGCTGCAGCAAGGAGTGCAGCAAGAACCACAACAGCACGGACAGCAACAGGGCCCGCAGCATGGTCCACAGCAAGGTGAACACTTTCCGCAACAGGGTCCACAGCACGGACTGCAGCAGGGGCTGCAGCATGGAGCACAGCATTTACCACAGCAACTGCCACAGCCTTGACATGGACTACAACAGGGTCCACAGCACGGGCCACAGCATGGTCCGCAACAGCAACTGCAACAGGGCCCGCAGGGAGGTGGGCAGCAGGGCGTACAACAAGGTCCACAGCAAGGGCTGCACATCTTAAATTCGTAAACTAAATGGAATTGTATTTAATAGAATTGCGATTAAGAGAAACTGAATTCAACAATGTCCATGGCTCATACGCTCACCTTCAACCCGTCAGAGAATTGAATTTGTTTTCGAATTTCGTGTGTTTTAGTGTACAGAATTGTCTAGATTATGAGACTTCATTGTCATGTTGACATCTGTTAAAAAAGTCATACGATTTATTTGACGCAAAATATTTTGTTTATTAAATATTAAGGGAAGTGTTTTGTTCAGGCCTTCAATAACATTTCCTTAACTCTTGTTCTTTTGTTTCTTGTCTTTGATCTTGAACAAACTTCAATTTTAGTCGCATTTGGTCTGCTCATTTTCTACAAATCTTCAATTCCGTTTTTTATTGTGCATTCCCAAATCCGCAATCTCTGCTTTCCCTCTATCGTGAAAACTAACAGCAGCTCATTTTCAGCAGAGGCTAAACAAAGCCTTGGCAAATTGTTTGAGTGCCAGCCGGCCCAAGGGCAGGACAAATCATGGCGTTGCTTTGACAAATCATACACGGCTCCTGTCGCTCATCCGAATAGCGAAAACCCGCATTGATGACACGCCCTAGCCAAAGTCTGGCCGCCCACACGGCCCGCCCCTCCTAGCTATGCTGCAGGAAGAGTCTCCAACTTTTGTCACTGGCAATTGAACGGCTTTGATCTTTTCAACGCGCCTTCAATTTAAGCGTGTCGATTGCAGCGAGTCTGACAATGTTTGTGTATATGTGTATGGGTGTTGCCCTTGGCTGTCTGTATGTGTGTGTGTGCCTCATACAGGCACTCGTGCGTGTATTTGTCAACTCAGCAAAGGAGGCGACATCGGGACCCAGCATTGGCACTGGCAATGCCATTGGATGCATGAAACCTTTTGTCAATTACGGCGGACGTCAATGTTGCTGCCACTTTTTGTGGCACTGCCACATGCCACATGCCACATACACACACATACACACACTCACACACACACACACACACTCAAACGCTGTCAGTGACAGGGCCCGACTCTGAAAGGCACAAAATAGGCAAAGATGAAATGATTGCTGATTTCTGGTGCAGACGAGGGCCTTGGGCACCCAACTCCCATTTCGGCTGCCTGCCAGGCGTATGGGCAAAACATTTCTGCTGCATCGAACCTTCCCTTTACTACTCCCCACCGCCCCGCCACACACAACTTGACTGACGCTAACCGTCAACGGTGCCCATCAAAAACGGCGCAGCAATTAAATTGACGTACGAGTTGTCAAACTCGAAATCATTCGCTCTTTTAATTGGGGCACAAGCTCGGATCAAATCATTTGTCCGCGGGCTGAAACGCTTCTTTTTTTAGAAGCTTATGCATATTTTTGTTTTCAGTTTTTTGCTTAGAACTTTTTTATGTGCATTTTGTGTTGGTTGAGGTTGTCGTGTTTAAGGTGACAGCAGAGGAAAAAAAGGGAAAAAGAGAAGTGCAGAATTAAGAGCTGGTGACAATTGAAATGTGTTTAATGTGGCTTGAAGGAGTCAATATTAGATTAAAGTTGTATCAAACATAAGAAAACATCTTTTTCGTAAAATATATATTTTAGGAAAAATTAAGGAAAACCTTTTTTGATTTATTTTAAAGTGTGAATACCTTTATTTTAATTAAATTTATTTTATTTTTAATTTGAGTTCATTTCGTTAGTTTTAATTCTAATTAGTAGCCATATAAAAAAAAAAATATTAATATTTATATTTAAATATTTTTATTTTATTTTATTTAAATTTTATTTGATATTAATTGTTGAATATTATTATTGTAAATATTTTAAATAATATGTATACACACATAAATACTTTAATTTTTTTTATTATAATATTGTAAAATATTTTATTTAGTTTTAATATTTATTATTATTTTTCTTTATATTTATATTTACGCATATTTAATGTTTGATATAAATATCTTATACTATATTACATTTTATATATATAAAAAAAATATATATATAATAAAATATATTTAAATTTTATTTTACTTATATTAATATTCAAATATATGTATATTTATATAAATAGATATGTTTATTTTTTTATTTATTATTTTTTATATTTATTCTTGTATTTCTCTTGTTGCTATGCATCATAGTTTTACTCTTCAATTATTTTAATCCCTTGCCCAGAGCACAGCTCGAAATCCCCAATCAAAGATTATGCGTTTGAAATAGTATGCAAAGTCGATTTAAATAAAATATATAAAAATATATATATTGGCCTCTTTTTCAATATTTTTAAAAAAAATTGTTCGCTTTCAGCTCGCTGCGCATTGGGGTCAGGGCAAAAACAGATTTCAATTCCAGTTTGAAAGAATCGATTTGGCCAACGAATTTATAAACAAAAATATAAAAAAAACAACTGAAATTGTCAGCGACAGGCGGCAAATGCGTCAATATCAAAGTTGAATTGTCCCAATGGGTGCGCACTTTGGCGTATTACCAAAAAATAATTTATAACTGCACTCATCAGGCAAAAATAACGCCACAAGCACGTCAAAATCAGCGGCGATTGTTAGGCGCCGGCTGTGCGGCGGTTGAGTTTTGCGTAGGTGCTACGTTTTTAGCTGCAGAGTCTTTCACATGGCGCAATTGCTAGTTAATTGTCGATTCAGCAAATATCATGCGTAGCAGCTTCCCAGACCCGCAGTCAGCACCGCCGGGCTGCGGCCCACTGTATGGCTGAGTGCGTAATGCCAAATCATCGTCTGTGGTGACGCCGCAAACAACAATCAATTTTAATGAACGCCATTCATTAAAAAACTTTGCAGCGCGAAAATCACAAGCGCATGGGCGTTGGCTTGGATAGTGGGTGGGTTGATTGGGTGATTGGGTGGTTGCTGCTGCTGCTGCTGAGTGGTGATGACGCGTGGAAGCCACTTAAACGGCGTTGATTAATTCGAAACCGAAAACTGACAGTCGCCACCAAACAAAGGCACAAGCACACCAACTGCCGTCACCTGCAGCTGTGTCTGCGTGTGTGTGTGTGTGTGTGTGTGTGTCTGCGTGTGTGCGTGAAGGTGTGGCAACTGCTCGTATCTGCGCCTGGCTGGTTTGTCGGTTTTGTTAGATGACGCGCTGCGGGTTCTCCGCGAACAAGCGTCATGCGCATATTTGCCACATCGTCAATTAATGTTGTCGCTGTTGTTGCTTGTTGTTGTTGTTGTTGTTGCGGTTGCTACTTGAGCTGCCAATGACATTGGGTGTTTTGATAAAGCACCAAACGCAGTTTGTCAATTTCGCATGCCACATAAAACGAGGCGCAAAATTATTTATTCATTGATGACAAGAAATTTGAACTGGAGGTGGAGCAAATCAAATTAAAGCAATATGTTAATCATTATTTATTGCATTGACTAATTCTACGTGAAGATATAGCAGTCATTATACTATATATTGAAGTCAAGCGCCATCTATTGTCAATTATTAATGCGAGATATTAGAATCCAGCCAGTTATGAGGAATTTAATTGAGATATCTTAAAAAAAATTGCAACTGGTTTTTCTGTTAAGCTTAATTTAAATATTGCTTTGAATTTATATGAAACAAATATAGGTGCTCATATAGGAACCTATATGTTACAATGAGAGCTATGTGATGTTGATAAGATCCTTCCTATGTATAAGGAGCTAATGCTCACAATATTTTGAAAGAATAAAGGCCTTCTCAAAAAACATATTTTTAGGCCGATCATTCCTATGGTAGTCATATGATAGTGTGGTCCGATATTATTAAGATTTGGCTGATATCTAGAGAACAATTTTAAATTAGTGGCTGCCGAGTTTGGTTAAGATATCTTCAAAAACCTTAACTTCTAGCTGATCTTTAATATGGCAGCTATTTGATAAAGTAGTCCTATCCGGCCAGGTCTGGCACATGTACTTAGACTAAGAGAAAGGCTTTCATAAAAAAACAGATAGACGGACGACTATGGCTATTTCCAGTCGGCCCTCGTTAATACTGATCAAGAGATTATCTGATTTTATTCCTTTTACAATTCAATAGAAAATAAATCATACGACATCATCGACAAGATATTTCCCAAAGTTTCAGAATAGCTTAAAATGTTTTAAATATTAATTAAAATGCAATTAAATGAATGCCCTGTTTTAATGAATAGATATTAAAGTCGAACACAATTTCTTTAACACCCAGGCTTGGGGATAATCGATGTTAGATAATTTGCGTGCTGCTTTAATGTGGCCCGATCCCCAATCAAAGCCACAATCAGCCCCAGACACCCCCTTATCCAGGGGCTGTTAATCACACACCTATTGATACGCCTATCTCACGTGTGCTTTGTACGTGACAAAGGCTCTGCCCGAAACGCAGCTCAAATTGCGATTTCGATTAACAAGAAATCAACTTGATTTTGATTTTTTTTTTCTGCTCTGTTCCCAAATCAATTTCAGCATCGCATCCACAGATGAGAGCAGCGGCCACAGCCACCGCCCCAGCCACAGCCGCTGCCACAGCCACGGCCAGCGGCAGTTTCGATGAGAGCGGCGTGGACACGTCCTCGTCGGCGGCTGTTGGTTTCCCGGCTCAAGTGTCGTCCTTGCTGCCCGAGGTCGGCGCCCTGTCGGCGACCGGTGCCCTGGTGGAGCCCTATCTGGATGGCTATGCCACATCGAATGTGACCACGCAGATTGGCACCCATGCCTATCTGCCGTGTCGGGTAAGCGGCAACCTAATCATTTCTCTTTATTTGCACTCGTATTTCATAATTTGTAGCTTGGCTTATACTTATATTTCTTGTGAATAGTTTTCTTGGATTGCGTGCATGTTTTTGTTTGTAATTATCGGTAGGTCCTGCTCCTCTACAGCTCCTACTGCGTCTCTCTGTTTGCCCATTAACATCTCGACCGTAGGAAACACATTAAATTTTATTGCGTAAATATTTGCCGAACAACTCGAGGCACTCGGCCATGAGGTGTGACCGCGTCGTGTATTTAACACAAAGCTGAAATACAAATGCCACCAAAATATACCCCACCCCCTTCCCCTTCCCACCTAGCAGGGTACTATGGGGTGGAGGGGGGTGGGGGGGGGGTGATTATGGGCGGTCTCGCACTGTGTTTACGCAGGTGTTTAAAGGTCAACGCCGGCCAACAGGCAGCCGAACATGCAAATTGTTTGCTTAGAAGTTGTAAATATTGTATTGCGGTCAACAATGGCAGCAACAATAACAACATCGACTAGCCGAAAGCTAAAATTAAATTTACACAAATTAGTTTTATGGCATTACGTGCTTTGTCCAAACTCAACAAATGATATAATATCCCTTGACTAGTTTCAACTGATATGCACGCAAACAAAAATTCAAGCGGAAGCTGAAATAAATTATTTTGCCCAAATTGAAAACTAAGTCCAGCCTTTGTCGAACAAAAAATAGTCAGCTTATTATTTTATTATTATTATACCCTGAACCCATTAAAAATGGGTATAAGGGTATATTGTATTTGTGCAAAGTCCAAATGTATGTAACAGGCAGAAGGAAGCATCTCCAATCCCATAAAGTATATATATTCTTGATCAGCACCAATAGCCGAGTCGATCTAGCCATGTCCGTCTGTCTGTCTGTCTGTCTGTCTGTCTGTCTGTCTGTCTGCTTGTCTGACTGTCTGTCCGTCTGTCCGTATGTATGAACGCAAGGATCTCAGAGCCTATAAGAGCTAGAGACTTGAAATTTTAGATGTATATGCTCCTAGTTCCCGCGCAGATCGCAGAGTTTGTTTCCGATAATCGATAACTTACTCCGTTTCCAAGCAATCGATAAAAATATCGATATCGATATCCTGTTTTTTGATATTGGAAGAAGAGGTTTCAGGGTATCCCCTTATCGGGAGCTCCCGACTAGAACCTCTTACTTGTTATTATATCAGTTTCGAATTATTTAAATAATAAACATAAATATAAACATTTTCCAATAATCTTTCGCTTGGTAACGCTCAAGGAACGATACCAGCGAAGTTGAACCAGCCACCTTCCGCTTGCCATTCCGATGCGCAGGCAATCTGATTAAGTTCCGACTTATTATGCAGTCTTATTATGATCCCTTGTTTCTTGCTGATTTTTTAACAGTTTTAATTAAACATTTTTCTCCACTTGGAGCTTGAGTTCGCAAAAATCTCTTTACTTTATTTCACTTTATTACATTTCAGCTGTCCAGCTCTTTCGGCTTGGGCTGTACATTAATCACCAGTCACGGCAAACTAATTTATTAGTATATATGAATATACCTAAAGTGTGATATTTTTAAAGCGCTTTAAACACTATTGAATTGAATGACATGACGTCGAAGCTGCTACTAAGTATGCACAATATCTGTTCAGACTGATGTCTGTGCACATTTAAACTAATTATAAATATCACGCCCCAGTCCAATTTGTATCTCGAACAGAATCATCAATTTTTGGCATTCCGGAGTGCCCTTAATTGGCCGCCAGGTCAAAGGCAAAATGAAATTCAAATTCTTGCGCGGCTCGGCTCGCACACTAATTGTGGCCTTGGTCATTAATCGTTTGGGTGGGCGGCGGTACTTCGACACAACTTGAAACTGGCGAAAATATATATTTAATGCATGGAGCCAGCAGCTTGTGCTGTAATTTTCCCTAAAACGAAGCAATGTTAATTTTTCGTTGTCATGGTCAATTAAGTGCCGGCACTTCGTCGACAGCTGGCACACGCCATCACCCAGCACTCAGCATCCAATTTGAGGAGGAAACTGAAAGAATGAATAGGTCGCATCTAAATGTTTGTCAATTACGGGTACTCATTCGTTCGTTTTGCACTTGATGCCCAACGTTGTGAGCTGCGTTGCATGCGGCTCTTTGTTCGGCTGCCACATTAAGTGGCACAGTTGAGCGACTTCTTGCCTTTGAAGCTGACCGGGACTGAAGCTCCTTTTGAAATTGCTTGCATTTGTGCTCCGGCTGCCTGCTAAAGTCAGTAGAAGGACGTACAGCACTGTGCCACTATATGGCACTATGCACAGGTAGCAATTGGGCTATTCAAAGCATTCCAAGCAGCAGCTTATTGTAATTCCCACCAAGTTTAAGCCTTGTCAAGGTGCGCACACAATGCAGGCCCTTCGAGTCAAGCTCTCAGCCGAGTGCGATAGTTCTTTTTATTGGTCTGTTGTCACATCGAATGAAACATGAATTTAATTTGAGCATATTTGTTTCTACTTGTGCCATAATTAAATCTGGCATACATGCAGTGCCTAATAAGTTCATTGCAGGCCAAATTACAGGCCAGCTCGATGTAATGGCATCTACGGCCTGGGCGCAAAATCAATGCCAAAGTGTTGAATAGACAAAATAATTTTCATGTAAATTAAACAAACCAAAATGTATGCACACATACATGTGTGTGCGGGTGTGTGTGCGTCTGACTAAATGCATTTTAGATTTACTAACTACGACACATTTCGATAAATATCAGTGTTTGTGTGGGGGGGTTTAGTGCTCGGTCTGGTTGTCTGCTTGATAAGTTTCATGTTCATTTTGGTATTTAATTACATTTCAATGTTGTTTCTGTATCTGCCAGACTTCGCATACATTTTGGCGCATTAATTTACTCCCGGTTTGGGTCTGGAAAATCTGGCTTTGACCAATTTGCTAGTCAACCACGCCCGTCTCGCCCACACTTGTTGCTGGTAGTTGGAAGCATTTTAACCCTGTTACTACCGCACGTGATTCCTTTGTGTTTGTGTCATATAATTAAACCGGCTTCAGGTTGTATCTTTGAGTTTATGCGAAACTTAAAGTTAATTTTATTTACTCTTTACTTTGTGTAAGCATGTCTTCTTAAATGTTCTCAGCTTGGCAACACCCAAAACTTTAATTAAATAGAACGAGTTTCGAGTCCTCAAAGTAAGGCATCGACTCTAAATAGTAAGTAAAATTATCAAGAGGGTACATAGTTAAACACATGTCGCTTGTAAAGATGACATGAAAAATCAATGAATAGAAAGTTGTTAACTAACTTTACAACTGCAAAGTAATGAAAATTAAAATAAATAAATAAATACATAGGATATCTACAATTTTTAAATATTTTTAGATATTTAATTTCATTTAATCAATTTTTTTTTGTTAATGAAGCATTTTTAAATATTTTATTTTTAAGCAATATAAATTAATTAAATTAAAATAATCCGTAAAATATGAAAATGTTGACTTATGCTTGAAACTGTTCCATTCACAGGTTAAACAGCTTGGTAACAAGTCCGTATCCTGGATTCGTTTACGTGATGGCCACATACTCACGGTCGACAGGTAATTAACGAAACCCAATTATTACCGAACAAATAAATAATTTTCATACCCAAATTCCATGGCTATGGTAAAATTTAAAATTATTTGTATGATTTCAGCATCAGTTTCTGGCTTAGGAACAGTGCCAATTAACAAATTTAGTTATGCTGTGTGGAATATAAATGAGAATATTGAATATAGAAATTATTATTTGCTCAGATTGACGCCCAGAAGTGAATGCAAATATGTACACATGTTCGCATATTAGCTTTGATATACATTACAAAATGTCATTTGCAATTCAATCGGCTTATAAATTTATCAGCTCAATTCAGGGTATTCAAAACTATCTACATTGTTCCAGCGCTGAGCATAGGCTTATGAATACTAATGAATATTTAGTGAATGGCTGCAGTGTGAACCAGTTGCTCACTTCAAAGTGAAACCCCTTTTAATTACTCCGACATCTCTCAAGCTCTGGCTAAAGATGCTTTGGCAAAAGATACAAGAGACGAAGATGTGACATTAAATTTGTAGCTCAAGTTACTTTAAGAAGAGATGCAGCTAAAGGTACATTCGCAAAACGAATTCAAGATGCTTTAATATAAGATACAGATAAAACAGAAATGCTATATTTTTTTAGCAAACGATACCTTTGCATAGTAAATGCACATAAGATACTTAATTTTAGTACTGCTTAAAGAAATAGTAAAAGATACTTCGACAATAGAATAAAAAACTTCACTTGAGCAAATAAAAGACATTGCTTTTATTTGCATTGACATAGTTAAGATACTTTCACATAGGATACAAAAGCAGATTAAAAGGCATTCTGGTATTTTTCTAAGACTCTTGTTTTGTTTCACTTGTAAAATTCTCTTCATACAAAAACAATTTGGAGTAAATTGAATAAAGTGTGCCAAGTGGCAACATGTACTTCAATTTCAATCTGCGTGTCCAATAAGAAGCCAGCCAATGCGTCAGGTGAGTTCTCAATGAAGCCAGTTCTGTATAAGTGTTCAGGTGTGCGTGCCTCTGTATGTATGCGTGTGTGTCCAATGTCCTTCCCGTTCTGACATGCGAAGCGGAAACACAAGTGTGTGCAATTTCATTGCATTTTTTGAAATCCTGAAAAACTTTATTTCAAAGTGTCTGCGTTTTTAGCTTGGTCCCTTAGTTCCTTATACCATGCATCGATGAGCAAAAGGGGTGTTTGTTTTGTATAAATATTTATAAAAACGTAGCATCTTCGAGCTCATAAAGTATAAATATTGTTAATCAGAACGACAAGCTGAGTCAATCTTGCTTACATAAGCTGAAGACTTTTAATATGGGTAAAAATCGATTTTAATGAAGGTTTTATAAGCATAACAAAAACCTATAAGAGCAAGGTAGACTAAAATTGGTATGTAGATTCTCCTTTAATATGTACAAGTTTTAAATAATCACGTTCTTGACTAACTCAACCCATTCCCAATGAAATTGGAAAAGTATTTAACTGACAAGCTTGGGCTTTGGTATGTGCACACTATTGTATGCCATATGTTAGCCCTGAAAATTTTGGAAAGATCGGACTTTAAGCACTCGAGTTAATAGATATTGCATTTGTCATATTTAGAAGCAACGGCAGCTTCGCGCTGTGCATAGGGTATCTCCTAGACGAGAGCACTTTTGTTTTTTATATTTCATCCCAGTTGAACGTTTACTTTTTTTATGTGCACATATGTGTATGTGTGTGTGTGTCCTGGTTGGGTAGCCAACATTTCCAGCTTATTACTTTGATAGAAAAGTAAAACCAATGAACCTTTCACATTAGATAAGGCGGCTGCCTGTTTGTCTGCCAAACGGATGAATGGCTGTGCCCGAATGAATGACTGTGTCCTCAGCAAGGATCTACACACACAGACACGCACACAGGCAGGCGACTGCTTGCAACGGAGTGTTGCAGCTGCAGCTGGGCAAACAGAGGACCATTGAAATTAAGCCCAGATAGTGTGTCCTTACTGATTGCTTCCTATGTGCCGCAGTCTGCCTTCCTGCACAGCCACTTCCGTCCTGGGTCGATTGTGTGTGCGTGCCCTTTCCTGCTCCAATGTCTTATGTCACATTTATCTAGAAAGTTTTCTTATTCTGCTGCGCTTCGTAAGATGCTCTCCTCACCTCAAAGCCCCCTCCAGCCTCTAGCTCACATCTCACACATAATGAAAATAGATTTCAAAAAAGTTTCTGCCACTGTCACGTTGCAGTGCCAGGACTCAGTCGCCTCATCGTCCTGCAGCCTGGAATGTGCATTGTGTAATAGCTCAAATGATGTGTTTACACTTTCATATAAATGTCACGTGCCTGGTGCCTTTTGTTTGCCCGCTGGACGCACCGCTTGCAATTTATTGTCATCGCACAATAGATTACTTCTGTTTGCATTTGGCCCAAAGTCCACACAACGTCATAGATACACGTAGAGCAACTGTCTGACACTCGTCCTGTCTTTGCCCTAGGACTGGGTAATTACGTTCAGGTGTTGCTTGACTACTTGTTATCGGTTATCTTGGCACCTGGGCTGCATGTCATTTATTTACCAGGGGGAGTACTTAATACGCAATCAGCCCAAGCACCGACGACCTTTTGTAACATTGCTCTGTAAGATATTGTTAGTAATTAAGGCAAATATTTATGCTTTATGACAGCTAAAGATAAATTTCGTGTGCTGGATTTTATTTCCAGTTGTAACAGGGTTCATTGCACTCTGGGTCAGCGCATGATTTGTACTGATTAGAATATATAGGTATTTAAGGCTAAAAGAAATTTTCCCTAATGCGAGCCTAACGATTAGCCATAAGCATCACATGCCCGTGTTGGATAAAAATTGAGCACTCTAAACCCAAAATAAATGTTTAACATTTTTGTAAATTTTTTATATTTATTTTTTATGATTGCATTTTGTTGGAGTCATCATTTTAAATCTCAACCTACCTCAAAAAGCTTTACACCTTTAGTGGAAATAAATAACCAAATAATATTAATTGTGATAATGTGATATCTGACTTAAAATTCTTTTACTGGCCAGAAGTGTAATAGCTGACATTCATACTAATACACCATTTGCCCTATTTATTGTCGTCATAAAAACCCTATTAAAAACTTTGTTAAGATCATAAAATAATAGCAATATCATAAAGTTAAACTTTTTAAGCATTTACATTATTTTTTCCTTTTATGACCCACCTTTGAGTAAAAAAATAAACAACACAACAAATACCAATATGATATGCAAATTTTTACTGTTTTATTAACACGTATTTTATGTGTATTTGCTGTAGTTTTTTATGCAAAACTGGAATTTTTTCTAGAATCAGAAACTTGTCGAAACTTTTTATAAAAACTTCCGAGTTTTTTTTTGTTTTGTTCCTTTTGGAACGCAACATAAACTGCAGATGGAAACTTATGTTGCTACGGGTCACTTCCTGACACTTGGCTAAGAAAAATTCTAAAAAAAAAAGAAAAGAAAAACGAAAACATCGGGCAAGAGCGAAAGAAATGCAGAGAACTACTGAGGTTTGAGGGAAAGTGGAATGTTGTTAAAATATGGAAAATAATGTGGGGGAAAAGTCAACGGTGCGAGGCCAAACTTAAAAATGAGATGAAAATTATAAAGTAACTACAAAATCTGGATAAGAAATACTGCAATAGGTTGACTTTTAGGGGCCGGTTGAGGAGGCAGGAGGAGTTGTAGAAGCCCGGCTGGTTAAGCAGAAGAGCTGTACCATGGGCGGAGCGGGGTACAAAGGAAATGGTAAAAGTCATAAAATGTCGAGTTTTACGAGTGCAAAACGCAAGGGTCTAATCTGGGTTTAGTATCAAAACTTGTTAGTGCAAAAAGGAGGTACAAGAGAGAGAGAGAGAGAGCAAGAAGGAGAGCGAGAGCGGGAGATGTGTTGGGCAACTCCAGGCAAAGTGAGGAGCTTGAAGCAGAGTTCCTAATAAGCAATGTCAACGCATGTGTGCGATGCCAGAGACCTAGGCAGGGGGGTGCGTGTTTTGGCACGAACGCTTTACTTGGTGCACTTTCAACTGGAGACGGAAGCATTTTTGCACTTTGCACAAATGGCAGAGGGAAATTTCCGGGCGAGCGCCGCACAAAAATATTGCAACAATGACATTAAATGCAACTTATTTCAGTGGACCCCTAAACAAGCACCACCTCCTCCCGCCCACCGCCCATTCATTTGCATGCTGAAGAATGTTGTTGTCGCAACAACTTTGTTGGCCTGGCGGGATGGGGGCAGCTGTTTAAATGCCGCAACTAAATAACTTTGAGTGTCTTTTGAGTGGCCATTAGCAGCGGAGCTTAGCGCGTAAGTGGGCCTGTTTTTATTGCCGTTGCTGTTATTGTCGCTGTTGCTCGAGTGGGCCGCATTCAACGTGCGTCGCAATGGCTGCTTTCGGACTCAAACTGGGTGGGTGCGTGTCCTGATTGCGTAGAACCTATGCAAGTCGCAAGCGTATTTACTTTGACTTTATTTAATAGCCAAATTATCTAAACACACTTTCATGTTTGACTGCATCATCAATTTTGAAACTATACATTTAAGACTTTGTTAAAAAGCCAACATATTTAAAGAGTATTTCAGTTTATATCTGGCTCGTTTTTGACAGAATTATTAAACTAGCACGTTGGGATCGTAAAATTTTTTAGTAACGTATTTATATCCAAATTTATAGAAAAAATTAATATTTTCTCCAATTAATGTGAGCCGATATAATATAAATAGTATAATGGATTGTACATTTTGTTCTAAAGGTTTTTGGTCTTATTTAAAACAATTTATTTCTTATTTCTTAATGAATAAATTTATTTATATTTATTTATTTATTTATATTTATAGGGCTATGTTATTTTACAGCGAGTTGTAGTGCAGTGTAGCATATAGGAAATGTGAAAGCAAAAGGCTGAAGTGCTTGCCTCTCCAGCCCAGATATAAATTACCTTAGCCTTCCTTCAAAAGTAGGGTAACTTATTTTGCTTTATCTCTCTCCCTTTTATAAATTATTTTAATTCATGTTGAATAGCGCATGACCTGCGCAGTGCTGACCACATAGTTTTAGTTGTGAGCCCACGTGCAGAAAAGATATTTAAAAACCATGCGAATTAAATGTTGTTTATAACTTCTTTTATTGCAGAGCTGTGTTCATTGCGGATCAGCGCTTTCTGGCGCTCAAACAGCCAGATAAATGCTGGACGCTGCAAATCAAATATGTTCAGGCGCGGGATGCGGGCACCTACGAGTGCCAGGTCTCCACGGAACCCAAAGTGAGCGCGCGCGTGCAGCTGCAAGTTGTTGGTAAGTGGCGACGGCCTTGGAAAAGGACACGGACATGGGCACAGGCGGAAACAGGGAGGGGGGAGACGGAGACGGACACGGACATAAGCTTGAGTACTGAACTAGTTCCTGCCTCACTGCGGGACAGAGAGCATATTGAGCGTATGCAATTAAGGTATAATATGAAAGGTCAAGGGGCAGCATCCATGCATATATATAAACACATGCATATATATGAGATAAGTATATTTATATATATATTTGTGTATGGGGGAAAGTTTTTGACCTGGTTGGGACCTTGGGCCATGGCCACGTTAGGCACGACTGGCCAGCACCAAAGCCAGACAGTCGAAAAGACTGTCAGTGCAAGGGGTCGGAGGGTCACACATACACACACATGCGCACACACACTTGCTTGGAGATCTTTGCATTTTTCATGCGGCTGCTGCATTCGCAATTGCTCACGAAATTGCATTCAAATTGCGGTGCCTGCTGCATTTCCATTCAAACTCTTTTTTGACCAGAAATTTTTACCAAGTTTTTTAACGAGAAAACTTTTGTGTGAGCTTCACTTCTTGGGTTTGTTAGGCACACACAAACGCACGGAGGCACACTTGAGGCCCGGACTAAAGAAGTTAATTAAATTTCATGTTTGCACACACAAAACACACACTCATACACGCACACACAACCAACAAAATTGACCAGGGTAAACGCCTTTGGGGTAAAATAAAATTGGACTCGAGCCTGTGTATTGCTCACTTGTAATTGACAATAAACGCTTCAAAGAATAATTGAATGAACGAAAACCTGTGCACAATTTTCTTACCCAAGATATTTCGGCTTAAAGGCAGCAGCTGTTTCGTTCAATAGCAACTAATTGGACATGGTTCAAGAAAATGTCTCAAGTTAACAGCCACTCCCGCCATTTAGTAAAGAAGCTTAATTTTGCAATTAGGTTCTATTAGCTACGAGATATTTTGAAAATAATAAATATATCAAGAAAATCATATAAAAAGAAAGCAAGGCTAGTGGAGATCATAATCAAAAACTATATATGTAAAGGAAATATGAAGATTAAATTATATTATACTAAATATAGTATGTCGAGTTATTCTACAGATATATGCATTTTATTTTAATTTTTGTATTATTCTTCTATTTTATTTTATTTTTAAATTTTTTGAAAATTGAATGTCTTAAAATATAGCTATTATTATTTGCAGAATATTCGTTAATATCTTTAATTTTAATGTGCCTCATTGTGGGTTAGAATGGATCGATACCTTCCGAGCTCTACCAAGCCATCTCTTCTGATCTGTTCTGTGAAAATATAGAGTATATTTACAATATTTTATGATTAGTCTTAATTAAAGACTGCATTAATTAAATTACCTTTTTGCAGCTCTGATTTGTAAGAAGACATATAAATAAATTATTAGAGTGATAAATTAATTTATTTAATAATGCAATATAAATTTCAACGAGAAAGAAAGGCTATCTTCGGCAGCCGAAGATCTAATACCCTTGCAGACCCAACCTTTTCATAATGCTTATATGCTTTGCCCGTATCTAAGAAGCACAGGGAAAATAGTTAATGCCGAACTTAATCAAGATAAACAAAAAAGGTTTTTAATTCAAATTTTCTACCGATCGTTTCTATGGTAGATATATGATATAGTGGTCCGATCTTAATATGCCTATGAGGAGTAAGGTAAAATAAATTAATAACGCTATATGCAACAGAAAGAGGGACGTCTGCAAAGTTTTATAAAGATAGTTTTAAAACTGGAAGACTATTTTGCATAGAAACAGACAGACGGACATGGCTATATCGACTCGGCTGTTGATGCTGATCAAAAATATATATAGACTTTATGGGGTCGGAGATGTCTCCTTCTATGCTTTACACATTATACGACAAAATTATAATACCCTCTGCACGGGTATAACAATGATATAACATAAGTAAGTATAAATAAAACGTTGCATTATGTACTAGAATATGGCTTTTTATTAGCAAGTGCTAACCCAGAAATTATTGTGCAAGGAGTATATTTTTAAATTGCTTCTTTATTTTTATATAAGATCTACATTTTATGTAGTATATTTTATTTATTTGCCAAGAATCGGCCAGCAATTTTAGCTATAAAAATATCACGCTTAGATCCACACTGATAGCTAAATTGAATGTAGTTACACACAAAACACTTAAACTTTTATAGACCGAGATAAAGAGAAAAAACGTAACATAAAAAAAATAACATAAGGCTGCAGGAAGAGCGCAGACTCGATAATGCGCTGCCAAAAGTGATTTTCGCATTTCCGGTTCAGCTAATTTGTATGCTAAGCACTTGCTCCAAAGGCTGTATGCGCGCGTGTGTGTGCGTGTGTAACAATCCAGCGGCAGCGTGACTAACAGCGGGACGCCACTGTAATGTGACAGCGGCGCCCAACAGGTATGCCTGCGAATGGGCACCTCGTGCCAAATGCTCGACAAGGCTTGACGGGCAGGCACAAAGGGCGTGGCATGGTGGACGAGGGAGAGCGGGATGGTGTAAATTATGTATGCGCGGCCACATTTTGCGTTAATCTAACGACAAGTTGAACGCATAAAGGATTTCGATGCGTGCCCAAAACCGAGTGCCGAATACAATAGAATTTGGTTGCTGCCACCGGATTGGGTTCTGGTGCGGAAGAGGGGTCTCTAGCCTTTAGCCTTTTGCTATTTGTGGAAGCTGCTTTCTTGGCCAGCAACCGGCACAGCGAACCATTATTTGCAGTCATTTGGCACAGCGCCGGCAACTCGTGGTCCAAGTTGGCTTTGTCTGGTTGGAAGCTGGGACTCCTTTTTTGCTTGGGTTGTGTGTTTTCCCACTCGGCTGCCATAACCATTATCGGCAGCACCTAGTTCCCTAGTTCCCTGTATGCCCCATTGCTCCTTTGCTGCCTTCTCCTTTATTCTGTGCGCTTTTTCTCGTACCTCTCTCTCTCTCTCTCTCTCTGTCTATCGCTCTCGGATTTTTTGATTTTATGCCTTGCCATGTAATTTGTATTTATTGCATCGTTTTGTCTGTGCAAACGACTAAAACTCCCTTTGCATGTTGTCGATTTGAGTCGATCCCTCTCCCCTCCGCCCGTTCCCTTCTACTACCCACTCTCTAGCAGTGGCTGCCCAATTGCCAATGTATTTTATGCTGGGCTCCGTTTGCTTTTGGCCTGATGCTTGATTTCTGAGCCCTCTTGGCCATTGGCTCGTTGGGGTAATGGGATCGTAGTTTTCGGTCAATTTGTTATGCCAATGCGAGTGTGTATGTGTGAGTGTATATCTCTGTGCACGTGAGTGTGTGAGTGAATTTTTTTTCCTTTTGGTTAAAATGTCAGTTTCTTTGGTTTTGGCTCATTTACTTGATGTTTTGCTCGCACAATGGCCAACTACAGCTCGGGGACTGACAGCGCAATAATGAATTTAATTTTTTAGGGTAAAAACATCTCTATAATTAAAATATTTAATACCTATGGCATGCTTTGGCGTCGATCAGTGATTAAATATTTAATTAATTAGTTTTCTGTATATTCATTTTTGTCCAAAAACTCGTATCTTTAATCTTTTGACGCACAAATTTCAATTTTGGCCCATTGTGCGTTAATGTACACTCGCATTTAGCCGAACACCCACACACACTCATTGGCATTGAATGAATATATTTTTTCTGCATCATTGAACGACAAACTAGATTTGGTTTTATGAGATTTGTTTTCTGCTCATCTCGTTGGGTTTCCAGCTTCTGCTGCCCCAACCCACCCCCCACCAGCATCTCCCCCTCCCTTAGTTTTTTGTGATTCTCATTCATTTACAGGATTTGGCTCTGTTCGTCTGCTTATTTAATTTGCTGCTAATCTTGTATAGCCAAAGCCAATTTTTTGTGTCCTGGTGCTGCGCGTTTCTTTTTTTCTGTTTTTCTGTTGCTTTCGGTTTTTATCTCGCCATCGAAAGTGACAATTTAGCAGTAATGTTTACGGCCAAACGCAGCAGCCTCTGCACCCGGATGGGCTGCACATTTCAAACTTAACTAATTTCCCTAAAAGCATTTTGCCATAAACCCAATTAATTTAAGTTAGTGTAATTCGCTTTACACTATATACCAGGCCATGCCCCGCCCTATAGTGTAGTTCTCCTTCCCAATTTGCGCCCTTTGTTCAGTTGGGGACTCGCTGAAATTGTGTTTACCGCCTTTGAAAGTTTCTTTTATTTTATCTGCGCTTGCGGTTTCGTGGTTCCCGCTTTATCGCCACACCATCTTTATATTTCCATAACCTGTTTAAAACTAAAACGATTTTCATTTGGACTATTTTCACAAGAACATTGTTATCACGGCTTGTTCTCTAAGCTAATACTACATTAAGAATCCTTTTGTGTTTTGATAATAATTATTTTCTAATTGCCTTGCGATCGTATCGTGTAATACGCCTTGCATATTTTGATGAAATTATTTTTTCCATGTTTAATGACATTTTAGAAAATTTTTATATAAGAATATCATTTTGTATACTTCTAGAAGAATCAGCAAAAATATGTTAAGATATTTCCAAGTAAATTATGGATATGGGAAAGAAAATTCGGTTTAATTCCGTTCTATGCCTAGAAAGACTTTGTCAAAACTGCGCCTTTTCTTGTAAAGTAAACAGTTTTTGAAAGGGCTAAACATCTAGAATTAGATACATTATCCACTCAATTTTGAGAATGCATGCAGTACATTTTACTTTATGCAAAAACTCAAAACGGCCGGAGAACAAATGTACAGAATGAACTGGGTCTGGGACTGGTATTGGGTCTGGGACTGAGACTTGGGGTTAAGGGACGCTAGCTAATAATATTGCATACGCTTTTAGCTGCGGCGCGCAACTAAAAGTCAAGCAACTGGAAAACTAACATGCACAACACGATGATTTTGACAAGCTGACACAGTTTGGTGTCAAACCAAAAGCAAAGAGCCCGCACACACAGAGAGAGACACATACACACACACACACACATGCGAGCATACAGAATTTTGTGCAAATTCTCAGCGCATTCATTTTGCACAGTTTTGTATGTCTAACAACATTGAAAACCCGACGTATACGTGATTTTGTCGAATTCGTAAGCGCACGTCGCCGTTGGCCAGCCTGCGGCAGGGGCAGGGAGCAGGGTCCAGCGGCAACAGCTCGTGTGATGTGCAAATGTATGTAGCCAGCAATTTGAACTTTTGTCTATGGATTTTTTATAGCATACGAACTCGCATTTTGACACAACTTGCAGCTTGTAACTGACTGAGGCATAGTTTGTTATGCACGTGCGTGTAGCCAGTGTGCGTGTGTGCGTGCCTGTGTGTGTGCGTGGGGGAGCTGCTGGAATCAGTAAGTGAAAAATTGAAAAGTAGATTTGCCCCACCCCCAAACGCCAAGGAATAGGTGCGCAGATTTACGTGCGCGACGTGACTAGCAGCTGTTAATTCAATAGATTAACGCCTATGTCACAATTTCACACAGACACGAGCCGAATTTTCCATTGGGCTTCACTCATAATGAACATCATCATCAGCATCAGACTGCTCATCATGGCGTTTGCCTTGGCTTGCTTCGTTACAGTTCCTCGCACCGAAATACTCGGCGAACCGGATCGCTATGTCAAAGCCGGCAGCAATGTGGTCTTACGCTGCATTGTGCGCGGCGCCTTGGAGCCGCCAACGTTCATCATGTGGTACCATGGAGCCGAGCAACTGGCTGCGGATTCGCGTCGCCATCGTACGCAATTGGATCCGAATCTGCCAGAGGCCAGCGGTGAGGGTCAGAGCACGGTGAGTTCTGCCAATTGTTCCCTTGTTGATTTTAATTTAATTACACTTGATTTCAAATTGCTGCTCGACGTTTCCGTCCCGTGCCCATGTCCCTGGCGTCGTCTCCGTGTCTGTCGTGCGTTCGAGCAAAATTACAATATTATTTCATACAAGTCGCATTTATGTCACATTCCTGCCACGCCCAAAATGCCATTCAAGGCAAATTTTGTGAATAGCTGAAAATTAGAGCTGCCCTTTTGACAACGTGACGCCGCGCTCTCGTTAAATATTTAGCCAACGTGTGAGAACAAAACTTATCATAAACGTGGCTCAAACTTGCCATTTTCATAGCTGTTTGTATTTCTTCTCTTATTTTCTTTCAGTTCTTTCATTCAAGTTTTCAGCCTTGGCGATAAGTAGCGAGTTTTTCTACATTATATTTAAAAATTTGCATTTCTATTTCGGCTCATTTCAGATCGGCTCATTAATCATCGAGTCGGCCAAGAAGCGTGACACTGGCAATTACACTTGTAGCCCGTCAAACAGTCCCAGTGCGACGGTAACGCTCAACATTATAAATGGTAAGTCCTGCTTGATAAATATGTTTACGTTAAATAAATATATTTCAAAGACTACGAGATGGCAAATCTTGTAAAATGTTTTTGTTAGCTGAAATCAGGTATTTTTTCGTATTATGTAAAATAAAACTCATTCCAATTTAAATTATTATTATAAAGTACACTTAATTTTTAATTCAAATTCAAACATATAGTTTTATATATAAAAACTTTCAATACGAATAAATTAATTAATGAAAATAAAATAAATAAAAAATATACAAATTGAGTTATTATGACCATTTTAGGGGAATCATCGGCATCGGCTGTGACGTCATCCGCACCCATCACACGTGCGTACACACTGGGCATCCTGGCATTGCTCCTCAGCGTTATTCTGATAGGGGCAGGACATCGCACATGACAAGTTGAGGCTGGAAGCAAACAACAACCGATATAAGCTAAAACGAAAAGTAGCAGCAGCTACGGTTTGAAGCAAAAATAATAAGTGCAGCCAACAGAAATCATAAATAAATAAAATGCAAAATCCAGCAGTAAACTATGCCATACAAAAATATTAAAACAAAGTGCATGTTGTAAGCTAGTTGATTTTATCTGCTAACTAATATAATAAGCATAAAAAAAATTACACACGACCCAGAAAAACTGCAGAGGAAACGAAACAAAAAAAAAGTGTTTGACAAGTTAAAAAATGCAACTAAATTGTAAGTACTACAAGCTCTAAGCAACTAGTCATAAAACCTTAGAGCTAAGACAAAAATATAATACCTACATGCATGCATTTATATATATTTAACTGATGTGACATTCGGTTGTCGTCTTTGTGTATTGGCAAATATGAGTCTATGTGTATGTGTGTGTTTGCATAAATGCATAAAAGTAAATATTTACGCAACATCATATGAAATTGCATCGGATATTCTTATCAGCCAGTGCATGGCTTTGTGGACAGACAACGACTCCAGTTGCAATCGAATAAAAAATAAAATTTGATATTTGGCCATGCAGTTGGACAACAGAAATGAATTTTCATTGCAAAATATTTACGAGTATGGCCAAGAGGAACAGAGAGCGGGAGGCCCGCTGCATTATTCAAAAGGCCATCAAATGGCCTTTGTGCTGTTTGTCTTAAAGAGAATTTGCTGCATTCCAATTGAAAAATTTGACAACTGAAACACAGTGAATTTTTATTAGACACAAATATATTCAACTAAACTTTCGAATTGATTGAAACCTGTTCAGCAAAATTATTAAGAAAAAGTTGTAGTGAAATATACTGCATTTTAAATGCTTTTTCATACAATGCAACTGCATTCCTAATGTTTTATAAATATCATTTAACTTTGCTTTGTCGTAAATCCAACGTTATTTACATGTGTTCTGTTCCATAACTCAACTCAATTTATGTTTTGTTTGCCAGGTCATAAATACTTACAATATTTTGCAAACGTGCAATAAAACTCAAAAATTAACATAAACAAAGAATATACAATTTAATAGATAACATTTTCAAAATAATTGATTGTGAGACTCGCATCAATTTGTTCGTTAGCATTAAGGTTCAACTGTATATACAACTGTATTGTGGAATGTAAAACTAGCATGTAAATTAATTGATTATACACATATAAAAGCATATTTAAAATATCATACATACATACGCATATATGGCACACGAAGATTTATGCGCAGAGTATTCAAATTGCATTTAAAAGGTCACGAAAAAACAACTCGCAAAGTTAATTGAGTAAAAAGTTCATTGTGCAAAAGCAGACGAGTTGCATAAATTCATATTTCTTTATACACTCAACGCCATTTGATAATTATGAGAGTCAAGGCATAGACAAAAAAAATTTATAATAATATACGAAAATGTAATAACAATTTAATTGCGACAACAGAAAGCCATAAAATTACCCAGTTTAATACAAACAAAAAAGTCGTAAGCGTTGTCTTTCAATTGGATTTTTTTCAGAGCGCAGCAATTGCAATTAAGTTGAGTACCAAAACGAGAGCCAAATGCAAAAAAGCCAAAAAGTTTATACGCAGACAAAACAAAAAGTGCTTAATTGCAATTAGTCGCTGTGCCAGAACTTAAAGTCCAAATAATCGAATGTACATTAATTATTTTCAATATAAATAAATGCACATATACACACGTGTGTGTGTGTGTGTGTGTGTACGTGTATGTGCATATGTATATGGGCGTCACGGGGCGTATGAGTGACCTGTCGGTCATTAATAAAATCCAACCACAAGCAGCTGCGACTAAATGAGGCAACAACACTGTGGTCAACAGCCTGTGGCGCCACACAATTTCCTTTTCCTTTTATTCTTTTTTTCTCTCGGCAAATAATCACGCATCAAATGTTTGCGGTCTCTGCGGTCAGCCGTCTTTGAGCTGCAGCAAACAAGTTTAAAACTTTTAACCCGTCCGTGTTTTTTATTTCGAACAGCAATCTGCTTTATTAAGCCCCCAACCCCCTTTAATTCCCACATATAGTTAAACTATTTAATCCAACAAACGTTTTAATGTTGAGCCATGAATTTTAGCCCGTAAGTCGATAGTCGTATGAATAGCGATATAATACTATAAAACGAAATCAAAATACATTTCTAAGTCTTTAAGTGTTTTTTCATAAAACTAATTAAAGCGTGACCCAGCCTGGTCGCAGTTACTTATTTAAACTAAACCCTTAATAATCGTAAAAACGCAAAGTAATCGAAGCAAGGCAAATGGAAAATAGAAATAAAACTAACTAAACTGATAACTGAATACGTTTCAGTGCATTAGCAAAATGTTAAACTACTTAATTGTAAATATATACATATATATATATATATATATATATATACTTATATTTATCTGTCTACATATGCCATATTGAAAGCAAGTGCATAATACAAAGATACATTTTTAAACATACATATACATTATACATATACATATGCAGTTATAGCGAAACTAATGTTAAGTACCAACTAATAACAACAAAAACAACAAGAACAACGTACTTATATGTAAACGAAAATAAACTATGTGAAAACTCTCAACGGAGAAAATTTATTGAATTAAATAAATAATAATCTAAATAACTAACAAAAGCCATTTATTTTTGCAGCGCTACTATTAGTAAGATTTAATTGATCCAAATTGTTGTTATAAGTTACAATAAATTTAGAGTTATTTTTATTTATTTTTATTTATTTTTAATTATTTTTATATTATTTTCTTATATTTTTGTTTTGGTTTGACCTCTAAACTTATTTATTCATGTAAGCTGCCTTTTTAATTATAAATATTTATTTCAGTCATAAATAAAGTGAAGAGCAAAACAAACCGAATTCTTCAAGACAACAAAATATAAAAATAACATTGTGCTGCATAAGAGCTTAAAAATAAATTCCGGAAAATGTGCCAACCCATATGATACACATAATTCAAACGCCTGCTGATTCTGCTGCAAAAATAAACAAAAACAAATAACCATAATTGAACAACCTAAATTGAAGTTTCATTGACTGGCAGCAGAGATTGTGAGATGGACTCAATTATGATCTCGCGCGACTGCACGGTTAGGGAGCAGCCGCGCACGACCATGGTCATTTTGGCATTGTTGAGGCCACGTGCCACCAGCTGGCCAACGGCGTAGGCCATCACCCGACCGGTCTCGCGCTGCATGGCTATGGCCGGCACTAGGCTGAAGATGACCGGCTCAATGCTCTCGCCATTCTCCTCGAGCGGATTGACTATGGCCTGGGCCAGCTTGTGTGCAATCGCGTATATGAACTCCTCGTCGACTTTGACGCCGGGATCACAATTCTCGACGGCACTTGTGAGCAAGCGTCGCGTTATGTCGGCAATGTCTATGGTACAGGCCAGCTTCATGAGACGACCGTTCTTATTCGCGGGCAACTCCCAAATTGTATTCGAAATTGACTTGTAAATGCCACGCTGTGTGGCTGAATCCACGTCGATCAGAGTCACAAATTCGCCAATATCATAGTTTTGTATGCCAATTGAATCGCCATTTTGATCGGCCGACTCGGGATGGGTGCCCAAGTTCTCGTAGAGCCCATGGATGTGCCACTCCAGCGTAGGCTTAAACGGCAAGGCTATGGAAGTGCTCGACGTCGACTCTAGCTCCAAATCGGGTAAGTTCTCAGTCATTTTTACCTTGGGAATTAATCAACCTTTTGTAAGTCTTCCGTTGCTCACATCACTTTTTCATGGTACACTCACTTATTATATAATGGATATATATGCTTGATCAGGCAGTTCAGTTTCTCTATGGCTTTATGGAATCACAGTTTAAATTCTCTTATAACGACAACAAAAATAATATATCCAAAGCACTTAATTTATTGCCTGCTATGACTTAGCAATCATTTTTGTGAAGATGTTTTGTGTGACTGTCAGTTATTGATGACAAGCTATCGATATTTATTTTATGATGAGACAGTTGCTTATAAGAATATTTGAATCGCTATTCAATGCTTTGTTATTTCACGAAATTCAAAAAATATTTGTTACTTTTCCATGACACGCATCTTCATCTTTATTCTAGCTAAATTTGTCTCTTTTAATTAGCTAGCTAAGTAGGCTATTTTCATTAAATTGATTTCAGTTACTTTTAAAGCAACAAAAATATATTGGCTGCAAATAACTTTTTCTTTTTGATTAAAACTACTCTGGTAAAAAAATAATGTTAGAGGAAAAGTTTAGTTATTTTATTTGATATTTTTGTGCCAATCTTTTTCCTTTACTGACTTTTCAACTGCCTTTCAATGCTCCGAGCTAGCTTCCATTCAAATGCAGGGCAATTTTAAGCCTTGACCCAACTCTTCCGTTCGGAACACATATGCACTTATTTGTGGGATGTTTATTTTCTTCAATTTCACACTGAGGGCTTGCCGGAAACTCGTAAAAAATGCTCATATGCATAAGTGCGCATAGAACTAATAGACGTACGTGTGTGAGTGTGTATGTGTGTATTTACTATATAAAATGCATATAAATGTCCTGGTTGAAAACGCAATGCGACTATTTTGGTTAAGGACGTGGGGCAATCAATGCACTGCAACAAGGTCGAAAATTGTCAAAAGGATGCATTTCAAATTTCTATTAGCAGGGCGAAGCGCCGTGTTTCCCCAGCTAGAATGGGGTATATGCACTTTCAGATGAACTGTGTAACACTCGGGCAACATTTTATTTCGCACTCCAAACAATGTTAGCCAAGCTTGTATTCTGCAACCGTTCACCTTCAATTGAGAACATTACTTTAAAGGGTATTCGTAGCTGCGATTTGAATCATTCACTTTTATTTGATCTGATTGAATGGTATGCTAACCCCACTGATAGAATGAAATTGAAGCAGTTTGATTGAAAAATTCAATAAAAGGAAAGCGAACTAAAAAGTTTAAATTAAATGCTGTTACAAAGCAAGGACAACCAATATAACAAAAGTTTAGGGGGGTCGCTAAAATGAAGCCTTTGACAAATTGAATAGGTTCGCAAAAACAAAGAATGAGTGCTTAGTTAAATACAGTCCATGTACGGTAGACAGGATACATTGTCTATTAGAATTTTAAGAATATTTTAGAATTAAAATTCATCTGCGCTGTCTCGCCAAATTCTCAGAGAGTAATTTAAATCATTTACGCATCGCTATGCAGCACACTCTGAAGGATGCGCCCGTACTTAATATGCCATACAGAAGCCGCATAATTTTCTAAATGACAACTAATGAGTGCACATTCAGGCTAAAAGGAAGCTGCAAGCTGGAATGCTCAGGAGTGTCAGCTTGGCCGGACGACCCAAGGGGGAGTTTTTTTTTCTGTGCACATAACAGGGTCAAACCAAGTAGGAAATGCAAAGTGCATTCACATTTTGATTGCATTATTGCCATTCATAGCAAATCTGACTTCCGTGTGCAGCCAGAACATGTGCACCCCTCCTTCCCCTTACCACGCTTATCTAGTGCATGAATGCATACTATGGCGCCTATTATGGGCTCAGACGCCTCGCACAAGGTGAGGCATTGAAACGCGCCTCAAGCAGCCACCTGGACATACACGAGAGCAGGTGAACTAATGCCTATGGAAAGCTAAGCCGGAAAAGCTGCCTCACCTTGCCAAATAGCCCCATTTTCAGTGCCTGAATGCAAAACTTTTGGGTGTCAGCATTAGTTGAGCCCTTTGTATGAAGCCCGTGCGGTTTGAAAGAGATTTGCGTTTTGTGGAAATCAGCCCAAAAGCGATTTAAGCAACAACAACAAAAAATGATGTTTTCCGTGATTTTGGTAAGAGTTTTTGCGGCTTTAGCAAATGAATAGGCGGATAGAAACGGGATAAAGTGGAGGATGAGCTTAAAGCTGGGAACAACCCTAAATAATTTTGCATAGAAAAAGTCAAGGGAATTACTATAATCATCTATATGTAAAGGAAAATAGATGGAATGCTTAAATTGATCAAACATTTTTAATATGACATAAACTATATAGAGAAAATATAAACTATTGTATAAAAATTCTATAAAAAAAAAAGCTCACGTTTATGAAGTCAGTTTTCTTTTAGAAATGTTCTTAATGTTCATCATAAATCAGCTAAAACAATAAAGAAAATCTGTCATTTAAGTGCTGCGCCTCAAAAAGAGACTTTCCAAAGATTATGCAAAAATGGCCCAAATATGATGTGCCCTTTTCTGCTGCCACAGCCCAAACAGAAAAAACATGCAGCACCGCACGGGCTGTAAAATCAGCAAGGCCAAAGGACATGCTCTGTAGGTCGCTAAATAAAATAACGAATTTCCGTCAAAGCAAAGAAAAGTTCTGCATCAATGGCAAAGGATTTGAAGTTTGCAAACAGGCCACATTTTAGAAAAAAGGGTTCCAAAAAAACGGAAGATCCAAATGGCGTGACACCGGACATGAAATAATTTCAATTTTGTGCATTTCCATGGGCGCCAGATTGCTTGAAGTGGGCACAAGTCAAAGAAAAATATTAAAACTGAATTTGAAATTTTTAATAAACTTTTGCCACACAACTTTCGAATACCCTTAAGTCCGGTCACCCTCTATCCCTCCCATCTCTCACTCGCTGCAGTTGTGTTTCGAGCACAAAATATACGAGAAATTCTCCAGTTGTCTACCCCTATTCCCCGCTGGTTTTAAAAGCCGCAAAGTGTCGCTGCGTTTGCACTACTTGGCTCAAATGTCCGCTGGGAATGAGGCGTCATTGCTTTACACTTTTCTTCTAGCGCTTCTCATTCGTTTAATTTCGGTGGCTGCCTCCACCAACCTCCACATCTTAGCTGCCACTCTGGGCGCCCGGAGGAGCCGGGGCAGGTGTGGGCTGTGTACAACAGATGGCACTTGGGTATTTAACGTTCGCTAATGCCCCGCAGCCACTGGGGTGTAAATGGGGCGTGGCTGGAGCCGCAGTCGCACTCGCTGCGGCAGCCGAAAAACGAAGGCGACAGTTGGCGGCCGTTTCCTAATTACAAATCAGCGGTGGCACCCAAAAAACGAGCGCAAAAAATATCCTTGCAACACAAAAAAAGGGAGAAAAGCAAAAAAATTTTTAGCTACTCTTTTTCTCCATTTTTTTACGGGTTTCTTGCAAGTTTCTGGGTCAACAATTATGCAAAATACTCTTTTCGCGGCGCAGACCGTCGCATTTATCTGTCCCCTTGGCTGTGGACCCTCAACAAAGAGCTGCGCCCCTTCCCAATGGGGGTCTGCGCGCATCCGTTTTGTAATTAGTTCGCTGCCCCACAACACTGGGAAAAGAGGGGACAAAACAAAACGCAAAGTCGCAAGAGAGTCGAAAACAGTTTCTAAACGAGACTTAAAGATTTAATTGCTTGAAATTTTGTTGAGTGCTTCGCCCGATTATAGCCCAATCCCTCCGGGCATGGCCTTGAATTCGACTAATGTGATTGTTTTCGCATTGGCAATTAGAAATTTTTACCCACAGTCTTAAAATAAAAATATCAGGAGATTTTCTATTCAACTTTGTTTAAGAAAAAAAGCTTAAAATGTTTTGTTACCCATGCATTAACTAATTGACATTCAAATTAT